TGACCACTCCCTTGCCTGACCAGTAAACACATCCAGAGTTCACTTTCATGGTCACAGTACTGGCCATTGTCTTCCCTTCAGCAAGTGCTCAGCACAGTACCTGGCACATGGTGAGTGTTCAGTAAACGTTAGCTGGTGCTGTTATGACTCCTTGGTAGCCCTAGGCACATTGCTCTCCCTGGTTTTATCTTATCTCCCCTGAGGTTCTAACTCCCTTAGCAGGATGGAGTCATCAGGAAGCCCAACTTCACCCAGGGTATTGTGGGCAGGATGATGCACTGCCCAAGCCAGCCATTCACCACGGGGCCGATGGGAGGAAGGACACGGGCAGCCATGAAAGTCTCACCCAGGACCCACATGCTGACCCCTGGCCCCTGACACACCAGGAAGAGAGGGGGGCCTCTGTAAGGTGACCCTGATGCTCTTGCTCTTGGACGGCGAGCACAGGAAAACTGTCCCCTGGAACACACTTGATGTAACCCACCCCCCTGCAAACCTCATGATGCGTGAAGTGGCTCAGGGTGTATCTCTCCCCAGGGGCAGAGGCACTGGTACATTGAAAACATCCCTTTGTAAAGGGCAAGATCTCTTCCTGGGAATGCCTGGTCCCTGTAGGTGGGGAGCCCTGGCACATGGCCCCAGGACACGGACTGGAGAGGGGGCCTTCAGGGTCAAAACCCAAACCCAGGCTGACCTCCCTGGGTTGCAATACTTGTACCAGATGCTTTGTGCTCTTGTCTCAGTTGGAAAACCAGAGGTAAAAGAGCTGGCCAGTTTGCTGAGTTCAGCCTGGGTGAGAAAGAGAAAGTCCTCGTTGGGAGGCATTCTTTCCACCCCATTCTCCTCCCTCCTGTCTTTATTCATTGGCCTGACCTTCTCAGGTTAAGAAATCAGCTTCATAAATACTCCTTGTATTAACCATGTCTTGTTGGTTGGTTGGGGTGTGTGTGTATGTGTGTGTGTGTTCTGATACTTTGACATCTAAGGCCCTGCTGACCCAGAAGGGACTGTCCCTGCCCATATTAGTCAATGCCTGGACAGGGACAGACAAGAGCCCACCTATAAGTGTACTTTTCAAATGTGAACAGGCTGAGCCCACACCTCCAAACACCCCCTCGATGTATCTTTTCCCCTCCGAGCTACTACCCCCTGCCTTCATCACCCAGGGCCATGTACCAAACCACTAGGGACAGCACCTGTGTCCCAAGCCACTGAAACCATTCAACACCCCCCCCAGCCTGAGTTGTGTACCCTGCCTCATCTGTTCCTTCCATGGACACCATCTCTCCTGACTGACCCTGGTGGTTCCCATTCAGCCACACACCAGGTGGAGATCTGTGGCTCCTCACCCAGTTTCCAATCCTAAATTGGCTCATGGATCCAGAGCCCCTGGACTGAAGAGGAGACCAGGCCCCCTGGAGGAAGGCATCTGCATTTTCCCTCAAGTTCATGCTGCCCATCCTCCTCCAAGTCCTCCCTGAAGGGATCTGCTGCCACTGCCCACAGTGACTCCCTGGACACCAGTCCTCCTGCCTAAAGTTGGCTGGGTTTTGTGTAATTTCTTCTTGCATTTTCAAACATTTCTTCATTGTACTTGACAGACAACATTATATTAGTGTCAGGTGTACAGCATAGTGATGATGTAACAGGGTGTAGCCAAGGGGTGGGGGCCTAGATAGGGATTTGTAATGGGGCCCAGAACTGAAGGTGTCCAGATTATTAGAAATATATATATAGGATGTCCTCACCCCCACAAGTGTGAGCTGAGAGATGGGACACATGGAGCAGGGCCACTGAGAGTTTTCTTGTATAGCAATAGCTTTGCAGGGAACCTCTGACATGGTCATTTAACATATCCATAACTTTAACTGGTTTCATAGATATGTTAAATAGCTGTGCCCATGCTTTGAGCCAGGGGGATGGAAGTGACTTCCACCCAAGATGTAACTGGGAGGCAACTCCCCCTGGTTACAGTTCCTGCATGAGAGCTTGGAGAAGATTGGTTCAGTGCCCCAGGGCCCCATCTGCCCAGACTTACTCTATCAGCCCAGTAAAGCTGGAAGAATACAGGAATGCTGGCAAGTGTAACTGATAGTAGGAGGAGTCGGAAAAGGGGCTTCAGAGGAAGATTGGCGTGGGGATTTAAACCCAGGCACAGCAGCCATACCAGGGAGAACCACGCAGCTTGGGCGAAACAGGTTGGGACCATGAGGCTTGGGCGACAGTCAGGACCAGGTGGCTTTTGGGGTGCTCCCTTTTGCCATGTGGCTTAGGCAGTAAGAGAGACTTTGCCTGGAAGAAAAAGGGTGAAAGGACTCTTGCTGGTGGGCCTTGAGAAGGTGCCACATGGCTTTGGATTAACTGGAGATTGTGGCGGCGACACAGCGGGTGGTGCCAGGAGCCTGAATCGTGGACTTCTACTTCTTTTCCTGAGATATGGTACCCCTGACTGGGCAGAGGGAGAAGGGAGGACTGTGTGCATCTGTGGGTATTCTAAATGACTTGAGTATTTTAATGAAGATGTTGTCATTACTCTGAAGTCTGTAACTTGTAAATAAATAATTCCTTGTCTTTTCACCAGTCACTGGCATTGAGAGAAGTCTTTCTTTTGGCGGAGGGCAAAATGAACCTAGTATAGGGGGGACCCCCAGAGAAAAAGGGGGGTTGCTTTTGGTAATACTATACCATTAACCACCCCCGGGTCTGTTCTCTGACAATGACACATTTATACAACTTACTAGTGATCACCCTGCTATATCTAGTGCACATTTGACAGCTTACAGTTATTACAATATTATTAACTATATTTCCTAAGCTGTTCTTTCCATCCTATGACTGGTTTTATAACTGGCTGTTTGTATATCTTAACCTTTCCCCTTCTTCACCCATCCTCCTAAACCCTTCCCACCTGGCAGCTATCAAAATGTTCTTTACATCTATCGGTTTGTTTCTCTTTGGTTTAATTATTTATTTTGTTTTTAGATTACACATACAAATGAAATCGAGTGATCCTTGTCTTTCTCTGTCTGACTTACTTCACTTAGCACAATACCTTCTAGGTTTATCCATGTTGTCACATGAGGCAAGATTTCATTTTTTTATATGCCTGAGTAATAGTATTCCATTGTGCACATGTACCACATCCTCTTCATCCTTTTGTCTCTCAACAAACACTTAGGTCACTTCCACACCTCTCCTATTGTAAATAATATTACAATGGACATGGGCGCACATGTGTATTTTTGAATTAGTGATTTGGATTTCCTCAGATAACAACCCAAAATTGGATTTGCTGGGTCACATGGTAGATCACACTTAATTTATTATCTGAAGAACTTCCACAGTGTTTTCCCCAGTGGCTGCCCCAACTAAAAACCCCAACAGTGCGCGAGGGTTCTTTCCTCCACATCTTTCCTGGTACTTGTTTGTTGACTTGTAGTCTGCCTGCTATCAATAGATCTGAAGTTACCCATTGGATTTCACTCCACCCCAAGTTTCAGCACAAACTTTCAACTGAAAGCCTGTTAAAGGCATTCATGGGATCTGCATGCAGTCAACTTGGATCTTGGTCTAGTTAGGCCACTGGCCAACCAGAAACAGAGTCTCCTGAAGACCAGGTAAGGCAAGCATGGGAGCCTGTGTCTGGCTACTCAAGAAATTTTTACTCCTAAGGGGCAGGTGATCAGCTTGTCCAAGGGTCCTTGACATCTTTTGTCACTACCATGTACCTTCACTCAGAATGTACTTTGGATGCTGCAGGAAAGTTAGCATTGACATCCACCCAGTAGAGTAAGTGTTGATGTGAGGGAAGTAGTCCTGCCCTCCACCATCAGCAGTTCAAGCACCAGAAAAAGCTGACCCCACCTTCCACTCCAGGGATGGCATGGGACTTACATCTGGTCAGTTGGAACTTTCCATTCCATTGGTGGTGGCAACTGGCATCATTCAGAGAGCCCTTAGAGCCATAGAGAGGTAATGCGATTTCTTCTGGGACCACTGAGAATGAGGCAAATCCATTATAATGACCCTGGCACAGTGTAAGTATGGAGCTGGTCAGAACCACCATGTGCAGAAGCTAAAGGAAAGTAAACAGAGAGAAGCATAGAACAGAGGAAAGAAGAAAAGGTAGCTGGGGGCATTGTTTGAGTTCCTGCATCACACCGATTCTCATTTATCCCCCTGGCCTATACAGTCTCTCTGGTTTAGTTCAATCTGAGTTGGTTCTGTGTCCGAAAACAGAATTAGGCCTCCCTGCACATCTTTGCTTTCTCTTGGCTCTCCCTCAATTTCTCTCTGCTGACATGGTTGAGTTGGGTCAGACTCTGTCTTCATGGGTCTCTGGCTCAGCACAGAGACCTTTCCAACTCTTGTCTTCTGACACTTTGACTCCAACAGCTCCAGAGCCCCCCCAGTCAGGTGGTTCTGGGCTACTGTCTTCATCTGCCCCTAGCGGCCCACCACCACAGAAACTTGTCTCCTCAGTCTTAAATCTTTCAGCTCAGACAGTTCAGACTCTGAACTCCAGAGGACCAGCAGGGAGTGTCACCCTGTGCCAGGAGGAGGAGAGTGGGGCCAGTTGATCCACCTCCACCCAGCAGCCTAGACCATCAGAGCCAAGCCCCCCTGGCTAGATTGGAGAGGGCCCATGAGAGTGTGCATGGTGCCCCTGGGGGTGTCCAAGGCCAGGCAAGTGGACGGCCCTGTTGCTCACAGCCTGGATCACCTGGGCCATCAGAACTCAACCTCAGGGAGGCCATGGGCAACTCTTATATGCTCATTCACTCTCTTGCAATTGGCCAGTAAAAGGCATCTGCTCAAATTTTCCCACCGCTGCACAGACACAGAGAGGCTCACCTTCCCCCACCACCCCTATCTCACCTACTGCTTCTCTCCAGAAATCAGAAATGTGCTTTCTGGGATTCTAGAAACTGGAGCAAGAAAAACATGATGGCCTCCACACCCTCCCTCACCCCACTCAGCATCACCTGCATCAACAACAAAGAGCTCTATAGGAAACTGGATAATGGTGGGACCCATCCTCTCATAGCCCTCATGGGAAGGAAAGATGATCACAACCCCTTTAGAAAGTGGACCATGAGGTTTAGAACCTGCGTGGAGCACGGGAACTGAAAGTAGAACATGCCGAGCATGCTGAGCACTCCGTGAAAACCATCCTCCATGTGGTGCCAAGTCACAGGGACTCCCAGGTCCTCCAGTCTCTTCTTGTACAGCAGCGAATCGTCCCGGAGAGCGTCATACTCACAGCTCACAATGCAAGCTTCTGGGAGCTGAGACACTACTTCATCTTCTGCAATCAGGGGCGAGTTCATCAAATCCACAGTGTGGTTTGTCTCCAGGTAAGCATCCTCATTATGGGGCACGAGGGGAACTTCCTGGTAGCCTCTCTTCTTAAATCTCTCTGGGATGTTTTCTGAGCCCAGCCACTTTCTGTACTTCTCCCACACTTCCACAGGCAAGTGGGCACGTTTCATAATTATGCTGTTCCAGGAGGGGTGGATGTCCATGTAATACCGTAAACAGTGGAAGACAAAATTCCTGCTGAGCAGGGGAATGTTTGCATTCTGCTGGTAGGATGGGAGTTGAAAATCCATCATTTGGGTAACAGCATAGATGAGAATCTGAGCGCGGATTTTGGGGAGATCTGACCTGTTTATAAGTTTTTGACACATTACTGCTGCCATTCCCCCACCAGCACTGTCACCACAGACTACAACCCGGGCTGGATCCACCCCATACAAATCCAGGGACCTGAGGAAGTGGACGGTGGCCACAAGGCAGTCTCTCATTGGCGTTGGAAACCTATGCTTGGGTGCCTTGCGGTATCTGCAAAGGAATCAAGGAACATGGTTGACACTCACCACCATGGCAGAGTAGGAGACACCTCTGTGTTGCAATCTTGAGCCCAAATTTCTTCCATTAACTTCTCTTTCTCATCCCTGAGCAGGTAGATTAAGATCTAGGGCTTAAATGAGCTGATAGAAGTAAGGTCCTCAGTGCCTGGCCCATGGCCTCAGTAAGGGCAGCTGCTATTTCTACTGTCTCATGCCAATTTTGGGGACAGGCTGTGATCACCAGAGCCCTGTCATCCCCCCTATTATTGGTCAAGAACTGAGCTATCAGCAGCATGAGCCCCATCCTTCTGAACCTACCTGATGGTGCTGCCCTGAGTCACACCTGTTCTGTACATTTTGGTTTCATTTATGAGCAAGCCCTGGGTGGTGTGGGTTTAGATTTTCAATACTGCTGCCATGCTCACAGGTGTTGTGGCCTCCAGGTTTGGAAGCTAGAATGCTACCAAATGCACCCTGACTGGAGTGACTTATTGCTTGGCTGTCATCCTGCAAAGCAAAAGGTCACCAGTTGGACTCCCAGTCAGGCTACATGCCTGGTTTGTGGGTGCAGTCCCTGGTCTGGGAAAGGTCTAGAGGCAACCAATGGATGTTTCTCTCTCTCCTTTCCCCTCTCCCTAAAAATAAATACATAACATCTATAATATGTATATGTTTAAATACTGCCCAGGGCCACAGATAACACATGGGTCACCTCCAGATCAGCCTCCCCAACTCCAGCCATGGCTTCTCATTCAGTTGGCTGTTAGCACGTTGCCAGCCTGGTATTGCTAGAACTTCCCAATTTTCAAGAGTCCAGAAATCTGGGTTTTGACAGAGACTTTACCATTTTAAATGCTGGACTCCAAAAAGAGGGGGTTTGAGTGGCCAGGTGGCTCACTTGGTTGGTGCATTATCCTGTTACTAATGGATTGTGGGTTACATTCTTGGTTGGGGCACTTATGGGAGACACCCATTGGATATTTTGCTCTGACATCTATATTTCTCTCTCACACAGATGACTTTCTCATCTCTCCCTTCCTCTTCCTCTAAAATCAATAAAACACGTACCCAGGTGAGAAGAAATAGAAACATGCTTTGAGATGCACAAAGCTTCTGCCAGCCATTTCCATTCTGTTGCCTCTATTCTTAGCTACCTGGAATGCCAGTGGTTAACTCCTGATCCATGTTTACTTTGGAGTCCCAACATAACTTTCTTGCAGATATATCTGCTAGTATAGTCTACTATACTATACTAGTATGATGACTACTTGCTTCAGCACAGCCAGGATGGTAAGACACGTAGGGCCACCAACAGCATCAAGATGTCCATCCCTCTGCAGAAATGGCTTGGAGCCAAGAACTGTAGAGTGAGGCCCTTCCCTGGGTCTCTTCCCCTCACCCAGAACTAACTTCTGTACTTTTTACTCTACTAGCTACACCACAGGAAAGCTGGGAAATGTAGCCACACCAAGATGCTGGCAACTGATAGTTCTTCATGGCATGTGCACTTAAACAAACCTGCAGGAAAAGTGGAATCAGCAGGAGCCACCCTCCCCCAGTGTGACCATGTGTCAGGCAGGAGGGCAAGACCACTGCACTGCAGTGACTGCTCCTCATACATATGTCCACGTGGCCTGATGTGGAGGCCCAGGGAAGGGCAGCAAGGTCCACCAAGCCCTCTTTGCCTCTCCAAAGTGAGTGAGTCTCCAAGATCAGTTAGGACAGAGAGTGGGTTTTCCATGTTTTTCTCGCTTCCTTAGATGCATCTCACCAGGGCAGGTCTCTCGCCAGAGAGCACTCAGAAATGATGGGACCACAGTGTTTGCAGTTGTCCTGGTGCCTGTGCAGGACACCGTGGGCATGTAGTGGAAGGAGCTGCTAACTGTGTAGACTGTGCATGGCTGTTCTGTTCAACAAAGACCTGCCCACCCAAAAATGCTGTGCTGTGAAACTTGGCTGCTGATACCCTTAGCTAAGCCCACTCCCCAGCAGGCTTCCAAATGATGCCACTCACAGAATGCCCCATTGAATCATACCCACAGGATGCCCACAGGGAGGAATGCTCAGGATCTGCCTCTGTGTCTCTCCCCCTTCGTTCCTCTCCTCCTTGCTGGCTGCCCTCCTCCTCCATCCCTTTGATTCCCCTCCTGCCCAAGTTCCCACCTCCCTCCTGGTCACTCCAGGACTTAGCCTGGCTTCCCTGCCCTCTCACCCTCCCCTTTACTCACCCAACTGCTACAACCACGGAGTCACTCTCTTTGGACAAACGACAGCATATTTGTTGGTAATTTCCTAGAGAAGAAAAGGTTTTAAAATTGACTAGGAAGGCTTAGTGAGCTTCCTTAGCCTATCATGGGCTCTCCCTTCTCTTTGCCAACTACCATGGACAGAGCTCTTGGGTCCTGACTATTGGTTCACAGCATCTGAGAAGCTGTCTGGCCATATAGTAGAGTGCTTCTGTGTGTGAGCTCTGGATTCAGACCCAAGTTTGTGTCTCTACATTGCCTCCTCTTCACCTGAGCTGAAGGAGTGGTGGGCACAGCCCTTCTCTCCCTGAGGCTCAATCTTCTCATCTGTGAAATGGGGATAATGATAATCATGGGGCTGGGCAATGAGATAGTGCACATAAGGGGCTTCCCCCATGCTGCCACGTAAATGCTAACATTAAGAAATATTCAGTAATCAATATTTGCTGTTATTGTCATTTCTTATGCAGACAATACCAAAATCATGATTTCATTCAACTCCCCATTCTCAAAGGCTACTGCAATTGACCTTGGCATTCCACAGACTAGAAAGCACCATATAAAGACATTTTCCCCCTAATTTGTGCAGGTGGGGTTGGAGAATCAAGGTAAGAAAATGATCTCAATTGTTGGTTTTCTTCTTTCATTAATTTTTCTCAAATCTTTGGTTCTCTTGTGTGTTTATAGTAGAGTTTTCTGGAACCATTTCCTGATGTGAAACAAAATGATGTTTTAGTTATTTTAATTTTTAAAAATTCTTATTTCCAACTTAGTAGTCACACAACATCATGAAGATACTAAATGCCACTGATCTGTACACTTTTAATTGGTGAATTTTATATTCTGTGCATTTCATACATATAAACAAGTATGCCCTGCTTTTTTGGAAGTGTGTGTTAGCCTGCTTTGCTTTTACTAAACACCTACATTTTTACCTGTTTTTGGCTAACCAAAGGAAGACTGAAGGGCATTTTCACTTTTACCAAAAAGAAAAAAAAAGAAAGAAGGTGAAAAGCAAAAATTGCCTTCAGCTTTTGTTCCCCAGGGAGCCCTTATAGAAGCTGTGCCCACCACCCTCATTCCCATTCCAGCAGGCAGCGAGAGAGAATGAGAGAGAGAGAGGCTACCAGTTTCCCCAAATCAAACGCAATATCTCAGCATCCAGCCCCAGAGCTCTGATCTGAGTCTCTGAGCATCTGAGCTTTATCTGGGCTTATTTGGGGTATCCATTATCAAGGCATCTTCTGAAATAATTGCTTCTTAGCTTTACAACATTTCAGCTTAGGGAAGGTGTATGGAGACACCCTACTTTCACATTGTGAGTGAAACCTGCATAGACGTTTGCACAGATGCACAAGGATACTCCATGCATACCTCCGCACTTCCAGAAAGAGACCAATACCTGCCATATCTTGGTCACCTGAGCAATCTGGGACCCACTAAGGCCCTGGCATTCCCTGATCATAATGGCAGCCTTTAGATGCTGGGAAATTGACAGAAGTGCCTCCACCCACCCTGGTGTGAGGCTGTCACTCTACGGGCTGAGTCAGAGGGAAGGACTCTTACTCAGGCTCCCTACGATGGCCCCACCACCATGGAAGAACAGGACACCCCGCCGGGGAGTGCAGGAGGACATCTTGGGCTGGTACAACTTCACTGGGATAGTCCCAAAGCGGAGGTCCTTGATTACAACGTCTGGATCCTGCTTGACCGGCATTAGATCGTATACAAAGGAGATAAATTGGGGCATAGAGCAGATTCCCAATTTCTCAAAAATCATCCCCTGTTGGTGAGAGAAGAGGAAATGCAATGGGAAGAATTTCAGTGTGTCCCTGCTTCGGGCCATGCGTGCCTTCTGCAGATGGCTGAATGCATCCCACCCACAGAAAATCCTGCGCCCCCCTGCCCCAGCACCAGCCCAGTCAAACCCCTCTCCCCAACCCACAGACCCCAGCCCTACAAATCAAGCTCTGGTACCACCGAGGGGCCCTGTACCAGCAATGTCGTCCACACCCACGGGGTCCCTATTCCAGCTGGCATGGGTGTAACATCTCGACCTAGGGAGCCCCTCCAGGACCACCCCAGCCAAGGTGGCCCACCCAGCATTTGTTTGCTATTTTTAGATGTGATGACTGCACTGTGGTTATGTTTTTTAAAGGGGGGGGGGTAGAGAGTTGATCTTTTAGAGATACCTTCAGAAATATTTTTGGATAAAATAATTCAATGTTCAGGATCCACTTCATAAGGCAAAGGGAATGAGGGACAGGTTGGGGCCATGGATGAAGCAGGCTTGGCCAGGAGTCTCGAGTGTCAGGGGTGACTATTCTTTTACTATTGGTGCAGGTCAGAAAATTCGCATCATTAAAATAAACACGGGGGGCGTCTCTCCAGGCACCGCCTCTGAAGGGGTGCCCAACATGTGCCAGTACCACCTTGGCTGGTCATGAAGCCCGTGGCCTCACGGCAGGATGCTTTGGAATACACATGTAGGGACCAAGGGAAGGCAGTTTTATTTAAACAGTTATCAAAATATTGGAGTAAATGTGTGATATGACCAACATTGGCCTCCTTAGTGGCATTAACTGGAGAGATCTGGTGGCTGGTCTAACACCATCATCATCTGGAAGGAACACCAGGCACGTGTGATTTTTCATAAAATCTGCCACAGTTGTAACATGCGTGGAAAATAGGTGACTCCTCTTGGTGACAAAGTCGCCCACAGCTCCCATTATCACAGCTGTCATGTGTCACCTCATTTTTAATGGAAGGAAATGCTATATTTTCATTAGAGGTTACAATTAGCCCAATCAAATTCATAGACCCTTGCCCTGTCACCCTTTGGGTTTTAGGGAGCCCCTTTAAGAAGCCCTGCTGCACCCCGCTGCCCTGCCTCAGGTTCCTCACGGCCCTTGCCACCCAGTCACCCAGCTTGTGCATTGCTGTTACCCATCCGCCCACCCACAACTACCACCCACCCCTTCAGGAAGACTCTGGAATTTGACCTCTCGCCATCCCTGACCCTCTGAGTAGAACTGGCCAGCAGCACAGAGCAGTTGTCCAACACATCATCTTAGAAGAAAACAAATCGACACATTGGAATAGGCCATGTTTATGGAGAGCTTCAGGCCCTGAAACGCACACTCGATTCGTTGCCTCCCCACAAATGCTGGGAAGTGGGTACTGTTATTTCCCTGCATTTTGCACATGAGGAAACTGAGTCCCTATGTTGGTGAAACCAGAGTGCAGACTATGAACGTCAAGGGCAGGAAGAGTACAGGAGCGAATCATCAGCTCCTGTACCTCAGACCCGGGTGGGGGAACCCTCCAGCTCCTGAGTTCCTCTCCATTGAGGATTTCTCATGAGAACAGGCATTTGTAGTCGCTTGTGGTCACACAAGAGACCAAAGAAACGTGTTTTCTCTGTGCCGTTTCTGTCAGACTTCTGGAGTGTCACAGAAAATCCTCACAGCCAACCTTGGCGTGTTCCTCACCACCACCCATTCACAGGGGTTTTATTAAATCACACCCACCAAGAGCAACAGGTGGAATCTGACTACTGACAGACACAGGCTTCCATCTCTCCAAAGCAACAAATAATCTACTTTAAAGTCACGTTCTGTAGTTTTGCTCATGGTACCAATTTATGAATTTACTAGCATGTCTCTCTATTTTGGAGTCAGCTGGTAGATAGAAATGGGGACCCAAAGATTCAGAACAACTCGTTCTTGTCTTCGGGGCTTCACAGTGCAGCCAGTGCTGTGAATGAGAGAAAGCAGGAGGGGAGGCCATGGAGGGGAGCAGGCTGGGTTCTCTTAGAACAGGAATCGTTCTTTGAAGTTTGTGGCTATCTGCCCATTCAGCTTGCGAAACCCTGACAAGAGGTTGAGAATCACAAGTTACCTAACAGGAATTATTCAGGCTTGACAATATACTGTCAGCCTCTACCACCGTGACATTAGCGCTCATCCAACTAGACGCTTCTGGTACATTCTCCCCACTCTCCCCTTAGCCCTCACCATGAGGGAACAGAGAAAACACACAACTCACCCAGGTCACCAACAGCTGGAAGAGGCAGTGCAGAGCCCGCAGTCTCCCAGGGTGGCTGATGGCTGCAGGGATGTCTACAGTGAAGAAGTGGCTGCAGACGACCCACAGTCCTGCTCCCACAAAAAACACCCAGGCTGCCCCAAGGAGGACCAGCAGAAGGACCCACATGGCTCTCTTCCCTCCACAGAGGAGGCTGGGCTCAGCACACCCCACTTAGGACAAGCTACTGGGCCAGCAGAACGCCGACACTTATATCACAACTGGCCTTCCCCACCTCCTCATCCTCCAGAAGAATTGGTCCAGCCCAGGTGAGTCACAGATGTGCTTCTAACAGGCCCACAGACGGGGCAAAAGGGCCCTGCAATCCGACCCGGCTGGGAACAAGAGTTCCAAGCTTCCAGCTTACATCCTAGCACTGCACCTAGTATTGGCCTTGAAAAAGTCACCTGGGACAGTAAAATACCATCCTTCCTCCCGCCCTCTGATGCCCTGTTCCTCTCTGACCACACTTGCTATTCCTGAGTCTGCCCAGGAGGCCCCAAGGCACTTGTACTTAGTGTGGCCTGGGTGACACTCTTCCCTCCATGGCAGCTGAGCTCAACCTCTCCCTTACCTCAGGGCTCTGCTCACCTGTAACCTTCTGAGTGAGGCCATCCTGGGGAACCTTATTTAAAATGGTAACTCCCCACCTGATTTCTAATGCCAGTTCCCACTCCACACACACACACACACCTGCTTAGGTTGTCTTTATGGCTTTTACTATCACCTGAGATAACAAGTACTTCACTTGTGTGTTTATTGCTACACAATATAACCTCTGCTGGAGACAGGAATTTTGGTTTTGTTTTTGCTTTATCCCCTGGTGCTAAATCCAGGTTTGGTACGTAGCAGGTGCTTAGCAAAAGTCTACTGAAGGAGGAATGAATGAATAACACCATACTTTTCATTACAAAGCAGGAAACAATGAGCTCACTGACTTCTCAGATAACGTCACAGACTGTTTACAGTGTTGTGACAGCCTCCATCATTTATGGCAAAGTCCCACCTCCATGGCACTGATGATGACATCTCTCCTCCTACCCCACTCTGAGGTCAGAGTGGTGGGTCCCACATGGGAGGATGTTACCCTGCTGGAGCCATCTGGCGATATCTGGCAACATTTTTGGTTGTGACACGGTGAGGTGTGGGAGCTGGCACTAGCCTCTCATGGGCAGGTGCAGGGTGTTGCCAAGCACCCCACAATGCACAGACAGCCCCTACAACAGGAAGTTATCTGGTTCGCCATGTCAACACTGCTCAGGGTGGAAAACCCTGAGTTGGTGGGACTTGGGATTGAATCCTGGCTCTGCCAAATGGCAGTGCTCTGGACATGAGCAAGTTACTTACACTCTTTTGCTCCAGCCCATGTGGCTCAGTTGGTTGGAGCATCCTCCTGGAACCCACAGATTGTGGGTTCTGAATCCATGCCCCCTTCCGGCCCACTCCCCAGGGCTGGAACATTTCTCTAACCAGAGGGAAAGGAGTCTGAGTCTGCTCTTTGTCCCAGATGATTTGTTTTGCATCTTGGCCCACATTTTGCATATGCCTTTCATAAGAGAAACTTGTGTTTCCTGTGACATGTAGACATACACAATATTGACTTTTTTCTGTGTCCTGGTCCAGAGGTTCTAGCCAAGACCTGTGCACTGTCAAGGATAGGCTCCCCCCCCACCCCTCATCTTCCTCTTCCTCCTGCATATAATCACCAGAGAAAGCCTGCTCTTGGTGAACATTCCCCACTGCAACGACTGTGAGTGCCACCCACACACATGGTGCCTTCAGCTCTAATTTGCTCTAGGGTTTCAGATTCAAATATCCAACTGCCCTCATGACCTGCCCTGTTCTGCTCCACTTTTCTCCCCTCTCAGCATTGCACCACCATGGTTTCTTCCACAGTCCTTGCAATTGTCCACGATTCTTCTCTTCCTGGCCCTCCCTAAGCTGTTGAGTCCTGGCTAGATCCCAATCATGTCAATTGTGGGGGCAACTTCTCCGGGAGTCCCCCCAGTGCCACGGACACGCGTGAATGAATAAATATGGCCAAGAGAAGATGAGATCTGTTTGGGGGATAAAGAGTGGGCTGTGGCCAGTTTCTCAGGGGAGACAAAGGCCAGCAGCGGCCAGTTTCTCCGAGGAGAAAAAGGCCCCGAGCGCCCTCTTCCATAGCCTTTTATTGGGTTGTAATACACAGGAATACAGGGCGGCAAGGATCAAACAGTAGATAACATTTCAAAGAGATCTGAGAGCTTCAGAGTCTGAGTCAGTGTCTGTCAGGAAGAGAATTGCAGAAACTCTGGGAGACATACTCAGTTCCTCTCGGACCCTTCTCATATCAATGAAAGCACTCTTAGCAGATTTCACAGGTTTATCAGCAAGTCTTTGTGGTGCCAGATTTCCCCCCAGGACACCCTCTAGCAACTCGAGGAGCTGCACCCCTCCCCATCAGGTATTCAGGCTTAAGGGGATTAGAACCAGGAAGCACTTCTCCCAGAGAACATGGGGACTCGGGCTTTGTCAGAGTCAGAGCCAGGGGTGAGAGTTCATTGCTCTTTGTTGCAGCCCCCCCCCCCGAGTCCTTCCATGAAGGCCTCCCAGGTGATCGAGTCTGGCTTAGGTTGCCCCCCGCTGTGAGGGGTCTTACCCATCACTGACTTCTGCCAAGCTTTGGGGGCAGAAAGAGGAACTGAGGCAGCGTTTGCTACCAGAGACAGGCTTTGTCTCCTGCGGCTGGCATTCCAAAGGTCTTCTCTTGCCCTTAGCCACAGGGGGTAGAGATACAATTCCTGAAACTAGGCAGAGCGGTCTACTACAGTCAATATTCATCTTATTCTCAGTCCTTCCCCTCCAATCAATGTAGGACTTGCAATGATGTTTGTGTGGTTTTCCTGCTCATTGTCTCTCCAAGGAGATCACCCTTTCTAGCCTGGAGCCACGTCTGCTTCCCTCACTAGAGCATCCCCAGCGTCTGGCGCACACTGTAGGTGCTCAGTAAATAATCACTAATGGAGGAATGAATGGTGCCAAGTGACCTGGGGAAATGGTAACACGGAAAACGTGTCCTTTCTCTCTTTGGTGGTTTCTTGTAGGGGCTGGTGGAAGTGAGAGAGGGTGAGATTGACAAAGCACTGAAGTCAGCACCCACAAAATCTGAGTGACGTTTCCATCCAGGAAACCCTCTTTGACTCAAATCTCTTTAGGTTCTGCAGCCTCACTCTCCTCTGTGAAACCAGGTTCCAAAGGGGCCTTCACTGCTTGGTAGGGACAATTCCAGAACCCAGAACAGCATTTGTTCCATTTCTATGGATGAGGCAAAGAGGTTGTGTTTAAGGAAGTGGTTTGCCCACATTGGCTGGCAGACAGAGCTGAGATTCAAAGCCCATTCTATTGAAATCTGATTCCAAGCCCAAGTTCATCTGTTTCCAACCATCCACCACAATCCCTATACCTCAAGGCAACCACCAATGACTGTACCTCTCCCCTGAACCCACTCACATTATAATGAGTTTCCATCACATGGATGCTGAAAATACCTGAAAGGCCTTCCTGTGAGAAAGATTGGGTGAAAATTCTCACTCTTCGTAAAGATATAAACTCACAAGCTTCTTCTTTAAGAAATTCCATTCTCCCGAAAAAGAAAAGCAGGAGAAATGAAACTCACAGAGAGTGTGGAGCATGGGTGGAAGTAAGCTGGTCCCACAGGGCACAGAGAAAACACACGACATAGGGGGTGTTGGGCACGGACCGTGAGTAAACCGGGGCTTAGAGACACGGGAAGAAATGGCATCAAGTGTTCCAGAGACACAGTAAGCAAGACAGTAACTGCACAACATATGGAAAATAGAGTGTACAGACAGAATGTGTGGAAGGGATGGAAAGGTCAAGTGGTAAGTCACGAGAATGCCATGGCTGAATTCACAGCCACGTCACCCAAAATTGGTCACCCATCGGTGACACCTGATGAGGCCCCACTCTGGCCACCCATGTCCTTCCTAAAGAATGCAGATAAAATTCAGATTTACTCCGCAAACTGAGAAAGGAGCCAGTGCTGTGCCCAAGGATGCCTCCTCTTGGTTCCCATCAGTGGAAGATGTATGTTGGCTCCAGGCCCCCTCCAACTGTGGGAACCCCACTGGTCCTCTTAGGTACACCAGCAGAGGAGAAGGGGGATGTGGCAGAGGAGAGGACCTGTGAATATTTCACAATCCAGGGAGGACCAGGTGTGACTCTTCCACCCCATGCCCTGGCACCTTCCTCAGTGTGGGCTGACTTATAATATAACAGAGCTGGCCAGTGTGCCAAGTTCAGCCTGGATGAGAAAGAAAAAAGGCCCGAGTGGGAGGCATTCCCCCAACCCCACTCTCTTCCTTCCTGTCTCCTTTCACTGGCCTGACCTTCTCAGGTTCAGAAATCAACTTCATAGATACTCCTTGTATTAACCAAGTTTTGTTGGTTTGTGTGTATGTGCGTGTGTGTGTGTGTGTGTGTGTGTGTGTGTTCTGATACTTTGACATCTGTAGCCCTGCTGACCCAGAAGGGACTGTCCCCGCCCATATTAGTCAATGCCTGGACAGGGATAGCCAACAGCGCACCTGTAATTGTGGTTTCCAAATGCGAACATGGTTAACCCAGAGCCCAGACCTCCAAACACCCGCTCCATGCATCTGTCCTCCTCCAGGCCACTACCCCCTGCCTTCATCACCCAGGGCCATGTACCAAACCACTAGGGACAGCACCTGTGTCCCAAGCCACTGAAACCATTCAACCCCCCCCAAGCCTGAGTTGTGTACCCTGCCTCGTCTGTTCCTTCCATGGACACCATCTCTCCTGACTGACCCTGGTGGTTCCCATTCAGCCACACACCAGGTGGAGATCTGTGGCTCCTCACCCAGTTTCCAATCCTACATTGGCTCATGGATCCAGAGCCCCTGGACTGAAGAGGAGACCAGGCCCCCTGGAGGAAGGCATCTGCATTTTTCCCTCAAGTTCAGGCTGCCCATCCTCCTCCAAGTCCTCCCTGAAGGGATCTGCTGCCACTGCCCACAGTGACTCTCTGGACACCGGTCCTCCTGCCTAAAGTTGGCTGGGTTTTGTGTAATTTCTTCTTGCATTTTCAAACATTTCTTCATTGT